TGCCATTCCAATGGCACTATGTTAACTAACTGATATTTCAAAAGCCCTCCAGAAAAGCTTCATTTTGACCAGCTTTTGGAAAGCCATCAAGGTTGGAGCAAGCTGAATTTTCTCAAAAAGGCTCGTCTACAAATCCGGGAATATTTCACCCTCTTTTTCCAACATGGTCCAAAGACAGCCACAACGTGGGACATTTGTTAGGCTCCATCAGGTTGGAGGAAAAATGTCGAACTGCAGTGACTCTGAAGAGAAGGAACAGCAATGGGCAGAGCAGCATTCGTGTCATCATTTCTGTCAGCACCAGGATGGGTGGAGAGCACTTCGACTCACCTGAAGGGCAGAAGACGGCCAGTCATCTTGACAGTGGGACCTGTTCCAAGCTTCCCCCTTCCCCAGGGGGCTCGCTTACCTGCTATCTGAAACAAGTTGGCAAAGAGGATGCTACCCTTGGTGCGACGGGTACGATCTGACCAATATCCAAAGAAAGGACCTGTGATTAAGCCAGCAAAGCTAAACGCGGAGAGGGCCAATCCCAAGAAGTATGGTTCAGCATTAAGCTTTTGCAGATAAGCCCAAACGGTTGGCAGGATCACCGCTACGGAGGAAGACAAGGGAAGGAAGAGAGACAAACACAAGAGCAAAAGTTACAAGAAGCATCCATTGGAAAATGCCATCCACGAGCCAAGGATATTTAGGGCCTTCTCCAAACTTGGTGGCTTTTCATCCTCTTTTCTCCTGCAACAGAAGCCACACTTGTACCTAGTCAGATATAACCTTCAACGAAGGCTAACAGCAGACACCCACGGTGCATATGTTTCTATTGTTTTGCCCCAGCCGTTTCCTTTCTCATTTTGAAATGCCTGGCTTCCTTTTCTGGCTGGATGGCAAGTTCAGCTTTGCCAAACTCAAGTTTCAGATTCCAAAACCTTTGATCTGAGCTATATAGCTGCTGCGGTCTAGCCACTTTTCTTAATTACCTTGTAAGGAAGCCAGTGACTGGGTTACTCCTTTGAAGCTACATTGGCTGGGTTTATACAAAATGCTCAGCCAAAACCAGAAACAACGAACCCACATTACGGCTGAGTGCCAAAATCTTAAGCAGTGCCTTATCTTGTTTGCTTTCCCTAGAAAAACTTCATTTCTACTGCCAGTAACGTCTTAGGGAAACCACAACTAAGGGAGGGGGGGAGCTAGAAACAAAACTGAGGGTTTTATACATCTCCCTGAGAAGTATTTTTATTTGGTATGTGCTTATAACTAAGTCCAGTACAAGACATATTCTCCCCACAAAGACCACCCTGTGGGCTAGGTTGGATTGAGAAAGTATGACTGGCCCATTGTCACCCAACAAGCTTCTATGACTGAGAGAGGACTAGAACCCAGGTCTCCGTGCACCCTCACTACGACATCATGCTGGCTCTTGTGTAGAGGGGGAGGGACTGGCCCAAAGTCCTCCAGGAGCTTCCATGCCTGAAAGTGACTTGAACCTAGGTTCTCCAATCCTAGTCCAGCACCTTCACCCAGTACACCATCATGGCTCTTGGGCTGAGAAAGAGGGACTGGCCCAGAGTTACCCAGTGTTAACCCTTTGAGGTAGTCCAGACAAGAAGCACAACCATAAGTCCTAACTCTATCTTTATTGTAAGGTTGCATTAGCAGAATCTTGCAAGACTGAAAGTATTTCTCCCCTCCTTTCTTTTTACTCTCCAGAGAACTAGGGAGGGTTCCTTCTGAAACTGTAATGGAAGGCGAGGAGGATACTGGAGGATCAAGGTTATCAGGAGGGAGGGGGAGCATTCCTGGAGAGGTTTCAGAGCAAGCA